AATTAGGGTTCCAAAAACTGTACTAAATATGACCGAATTTGAGTGTCATTAGAATTTGCGCCAGAATTAAAAAGCTAGTATGGGAAAATCCTGAATGCTTAATGGTTAATATATTTTTGCAATTGGAATCAATTTATGTTCTTGGTTAAAATTATAGAGCAACATGTGAAAAGGGAATACGAATCAAATGTAAGCATTGACTTTAAACGTCGATTTCTAGCGGATTGAGATTCATTCAGACAAACCACAATAGCAGCATCTGGTAGAGGAAGTTTGTTCTATCAGATGATTTAGGGTAGAGAACTACTTCAGAATAAACGCGTATTACCTTCATATCGAACAGAAGCTTCAAATATATCAATGATTTTGACGTTCACGAAGTAATCAGTACGATAGTTTGTTTAAAAGCTACAAAACTAAATCTATAAGAACAAAAAATATTTATATTTTTCAACCGATATTCTCAAAAACAAAAGAAGCGCTCCTAGTGAATTCACTTCATCTGTCTTCATCGGTATGCCGGAAGGAAAATATTATGGTTTATGTTAGCAAAAATACTAAATAAAACTACTGTTTACCCCCTGACTATAATAGGTACAGGTATTGCCGAAGCCGACATTTCCCCTATTATTTTTAAACCTAGAAAAATTAAAGTTTTTCCTTTGTTTCTACGTCAGTTCAATAAGAAAGTGGAGTTTTCGTGCTATGGTTTATTGATTAGTTATTTTGCAGGATTCAAAATGGCCGAATTTAAGCAAAAATGTGAACACAACAAACAATTTCTTTTTCTGGATTTGTTTTCCGTCGATCTTGTTTTCCGTGCTGAGCACCAATGCTACCGACGCCAAGGAGGCAGCTCCTACGCCTGGACCCAACCTATCGACCCATCAACTCATGAACCGGGGACCAACGGCTTTACTTCCAGAGATGTAATGCCTCAGAACATTCCGGCGGCGCCGATTGAACCCAGGCCTGCTGGGGTGAGAGATAATCACGCTTACCACTACACCACCGGCGCCGCTAACAACAAACAATTGAGCAAAAGGTTTTTGGGGTGGGTAATTCAGAAGTAGTGGAACTATTTTTTTTATTTATTACCGCTATGTACGTGACAGGGGTATCCAGGTACACAGCTACCATTTGAACAACAGCGTGAAGAAAAAAGAAAAATAATTCTCATGCACATAATGGTTGAACCATAAACCAGCTTTACGATACTATACGATCTTTATTTGTAAAAAACTTAGGCTTACTGCTCTATTTATACACAAAATATTGAATTGATTTATTTAAAAAAAGCTCGTCCTCTATTTATGTAGCTACCTTTGGCACATATAACAGTGTAACCAATTGGTTTCAAGTGGATTCCACTACCGCAACTTTAGATGCAAAGGAAAAATATGATAGTTTCTGTAATGTGTCTGGCAAATTTAATAGTTCCAATATGTAAGTATATTATTCCAAAAAAAAACCTCCATACTGCAACTATAGCAACACCATACCACACTACTCTATGTATTCCAAGTCGGAAGCGATAAGAACAAAACAAGGCTTAGAAAACCACCAAAGTTGTATAGTTTGAATTTGATTTCATATTAAGCTACCCTAAAATTTTGGGAAACATAAGGTTTTTATCCCGTTCAGGACGGGTATAAACATTTCTGAAATCTTGGCTGCTGGTACATCAATAATCAAAAATGTATCGCTAAGTCAATTTCAAATCAGATTTAATGATCGAGGGAAATGGATGTAATGTCGGCCTAAATGCCCCTAATTTGGGCACATACATAAATTTAACAATCGACTAAATTTTCAATAACGATCAAAAATATCCATTAGTATCGTCTTAATGACGCTTTCGTTTAGATAAAATTGATAATTATGAAATTTTTAACGATGGGGCCAATCTTAGATCCATAAGCCAACATTAAAGCCATTTCCCCTATAAAGTGAATCAAAAACCTCTGCTAAACTTTCACGTGTTAAAAAATCCTGATCAATTGGAGCTTGTTGCATGAAACTTAATTAATCCATTATTATGAAATCATGAATCGGACCAGTCATGAATAAAATATTAATTGAATGGTAAAAACGTGTTCATGCTCTCGTTGTTATGAGTATGATACACACATACTCAAAACCTGCGGGTTTCTAGGAGAGTAGTGTAAGTTGATATACCAGAAATAACATACCTAGATATAACTTTGTTCTCTTCAGATCACTTGAGCTGAAACTTAACTTTTGATTTATATTACCAAATACCACGCATCTTCCAGAAGCAAAATACTAGGTGTATATTTTTCAAACTAAAATCAGTTTTAATTACTTGTGTTTCAATTAGGTTTGTAAGGATGAAAATTAAATTTTGCAGGACTGTTTACATGTTATGACATCTCTTACGGTCAAACCGGATTATCCGGAGAACCATGCTATGGTCCCAACATATCAATTCTAAGTTAAATACGCTTTAATATCGGGATATGAGATGAACTAGTCAACTGGCTAAAACTCTCAACAATAAATAAAACAAAACAAAAATGATCTTGAGGTTCTGACCGAAATAGAAAAAACCCACAGGGTTCTAGGTTAATTTTGATTATGTGGCCATTTTATCAGTCAATCCGGACTATATAAAAATATCAATTCCATATTAAATACGCTTTGTTCTCGTGATTCTGAGTAATATAGAAAACAATTGCTATCAATTTCCAGTAATATACGTAAAGTGAGATGTAAAACTATGTCGGAAGATAGTAGCAATTCTTATGTTACCGAGACCAATGACACCCCCTCCAATCGATTCACCAGAGTTTTTTCTTTAAGAATATGAATAATATGTTGACTGAGACCGTTTGTCAGGCGAGATTTTCAACTTATTCGTGGTTTTGTCAATTTTTGCTCACTGTGCGTTACCACGAGGCGGATTTTATTTAGGGCATAAGAGAAAGGTTGGACATATAATTAGATACCGTAATCTGGGGGTTTATTGTGCACTTATTTACGTAAATATTTAAATAAATATCATTTAATAAGTAAATTGACAAAATCAGTAGCTCTATTGCATGATTACTTATCATTTTGGATGTTTTGTTTATTTTTAGGACATTTTTGAAATCTGGCTATGGGGTGAAATTGATCGAATCATGCTATGTTCTAAGGCGACTTTCATCTTCCCTCCACTTGGTAGCTAAGTGTGCTACACAAACTATTGTGTGACGGAAACTCTGAAAAACTAGATTTAGAGACCGATGAGATTTTTTAGTAAGTCGTTTTTGTTTTTGATGGGATTTTAACCTTAAAGGTCATTCATCCCAGAGTTTTTTTTAGCAAGGGAAGATGCACAAATGACGTGGTATTTGTACCGTATTTCCTACATGGCTGGTCACCCTTAAGTGCCATGTAATTTTTGCATCTTTCCTAAGTCCTATTTGCATAGCAACTTCTGAAAAAAATCTGCTACTGTATTGAAATTTTGTGAATATTATTTTTAAAACATTTATTGTGGTTTGAACTATATAAGGAAAACTAGATGAGGCCGTTTTTTAATTAATTTAAAATGTTGATAAATAAATTTAAGTCAGCGGTATGTTATAAGGTACATAACGCTGACTTAAATTTATTTATCATAAATATTTTAAATCAGCCCTTTGAAAAATCGTAACTCACTCTGCGATTTTTCCTAAAATAACGCAAATATTTGTTTGTAATATTTGCATCAGCCTTTATTTATCAAAACATGTCATGTAACTCATGTTATTCCAATAACGATACCTGTAAAGTGTGTAATGAGAAGTAAATGAACAACCAAGATCAACTGTAGAAAGTGTTCGCCATATAGTCATCGAACCACAGTCAGAAAAGGAAACAGACGGGCTACATAAAATACGTGGTAAATTTTTATCTGTTTTGATAATAAGATGGACAAAATCAATGGACATCATAAACTCCATCCAAAAATAAACAACCTGTACGAAATTCATAGTTAGATCGGTCTGATTGCTGGTTTAATAAAACAATCATGAATCTTAGGTATGGTAAGGATTTAATATGGAGAAACATCACCTCTCTTTTCTTTCCCTGGCCATAACATTGTTGTAAACCTGTAGATTTTAAGACATACTTCAAATCTCCGCGTACATCGTACGGGTTAGGCAAAGAAGTGTGCGTTTGACATGTACTGTCGCATTAATGGCCCTTCGGTCACCCGCCATTCTCTAGCTAAAAAATTATCACACTAAGCTTCATGTTAGATAGCATTTCCAACCAACTCTGAAAATTATCACATGAGATATCCTGCCCGCTAATATGAAAGCTTAACGACTCCCGACAGGGGCTCGGGGTTTTAACAACGATTTTGGGTAAGATTTTTGGGAAAGTGCACTGTTTATAGAACTCGTTGAAAAATTTTCCGCTTATTCTTGGAAGTTCTTAATCATTTTACACACTACGAAAAATTTATTTAAATTTCGGTGCCCTGAGACCGACACATGAAAACATGACCTAAGAATCAGTTGAAAGAAACGAGAAAATCAATTCAAACAATTGCACTATTCGACTTGTTACGTATGTTTCAGAATCGAAATTTTACATGACTTGTTTATTTAATTTCCTTGATTTACGTTTAAGATGGATTACGTCTCTTCGATTCATTAATCTACTTCATTTGATTCAGCAAGTTTAAAAGTATTGAAAGTAACAAAGTTCAAAGAAGCCTGCCACGGCGATACATAAAATGTTCCAATTGTTAGAAACTATTTTAACATTTTTAGAAAACTTTAGTGAATACTCTGGAAATCGTTCAGAAAAAAAGCGTCAAAGATCTTCATTCTTCGCTCGCTGTTAGGTAAAGCAATGTACATTCTTTAATTGACTATTACCCTAAAAAACATTGAAACCACTGATATCAATAAATACGATTGCGAATGAGAGTATTTTGGACCCATGGACTGAGCACGCCGATGAACAGTAGGAAGTAACAAAACGATTCAACCCATACTCACCGTACAATCGTATCGTCCCTTCTGCGTCCCCAATGCTGTTCTTCGATATGCACTTGTAACCACCCATATCAGCTTTGTGCAGTTTCTGGATCACAAGCGTCATCTGCACCGCGTACATTGAGCTTTCGTTCTCGTTCATCGAGTACCGATCGTTGGAGATTATCATCTCGCCTGTTGATGACAAGGATAAAAAGGGGTGAAAATCAGTAAAAAATTGTTTCCGATGGCCTTTAGCATAATAATAGGATGCTGTCAAGAGAAGAAGTGTTTTTTTCACGGGCCAACATTTCCGGTGTTAGATTGAATGCTTTGTGATTGTGCCATTGTGTTTATAGAAAACAAATTGGACTTGATAATGTTGATGATCAAACCAATGCTATTTCATACAATTAGCTCACATTTATCATTACGCTTTAGCAAATAATAAATCATACTGATGCATCTATTATGAAATCGTTTATATATTATTTTTATTAATCCTGTAACTATTTATTTAAATGCTGTTTCAATAAATCGAGCGCTGTCGTCTCAACTACAATTAAAATAAAAGTATTATGATTATCAAACAATTAAACGTATTTTCACTCACAACACTGAATAAATAACTATAATTGGAATCGAGAAGAGTACTGGGAAATGCATTGATGCATAAAACAATGCCTATAATTTTTGCGTTCTCTTCCACCTGCCCTTAAATGGTTCCCTGGTGGGAGTTCTTTGCCCCATACATAAAGTTCACTCGAGACAATTGATGACCAATTTTGATGCTGGTTAACTGGCCAATTCATATGCTTACCACACAATGGTCGCTACCGGGTAGCTGCTGAAAATGGGATTGAATTTTCAACAACAGTTTAGTAATAATTAATTTCCATTCGAATAAAATCCCTTTTGGGGAATCAATTTAAGAAATTTCGGATGCTGTAATTAAAGCAAAATGGTGTCATGCACAATTAGGGTGGTTTGAATTAGTGCAATAGATTTCAAAACAGACTCAGTTAATTCTCCATCACGGTTCTTTGACATTGGATTTATACTATGAAAATTGGTACCTTTTGCCCTTTTTACATCTAAGCATGATAGAGATAGTGCTTGAAATCCTGACTTTCGAAACGAGGATTTAAAAAGCCTTTGTGCCTTTGCTCAGTGTTCATATATCACTAGAACTGTCTTGCCTGTGTACCATTTGAGACCACCCTAGAGTATTACTTGGGATGACGAAGCTGTGATTGTTGCTCGCAGTCCTTAGGATCGAGCTCAGAAAACGGTTTCAATCAGGGTGTTAATAGATAACTCGATAACGTTTTTTTGTTAACGCCTGCTATGCGTCTGCGTTAACGTCTGCAACACAAATTCACCATTGCAGACGTTAACGCTGATTGTTAAGCCCATTGGGTACCTCGAACGCACTTCGATATTTAAATTAACCTTGGCAGTTAGCGGTACACGAAAACGGACGGGCTAGAGTATATATTAGTAAAGGAAGAAGAAAGAAAAAAAAAAGATCGTAATTTGCCACAGTGTAAACACGCTAGGAAGACAAAAGTTTAATTTACAGTATATTCATTATTATTTGCGTTTCTATTGCTCTAAATCTTCAAACTTTGATAACTAAACGGTAATGTACAGGACACAATTGAATTACAAACAAACATACTAATTATATTACAATTTCTAGCAGTGAGTTTGTTACTCTAGTGAAATTGAGGTTAGGGAATCGGAGTTGCAGGAAAAAAAGGAGGAAACACGAATTGTAAGCTTGTTTCTTTACTTTAATAACCTTAAAGCTAATGCAAATATATTTCCAGCTTTAAGCTGTTCACAAACTGGACACGCTCTGTAGATCGAGTTCCTTCGGGTGCATCCGAAACCGAAAATTCTCACTAACACTGATGTTATCGACGGTTATCGATTAACAACCATGTTCTGCACTCTACATTGAAACCGTTTTCTGCGCTTGAACCTAACGATTGCGAGCAACCATCACAGCCTTGTCACCCCTAGTTATACTCGTTTACGTCTGCAATGCAAACTCACCATTGCAGACGTTAAAGCTGACGATATTGACGTAGCAACCCTGGTGCAGAGGACGGTTTAAAAGTACGAGCAGAGGAGCCAAGAACTGCTATGGATCGCATCTCAGTGGTATCCGTTCCGTTGGCCAGGACCTTCTGCCATACATTCGAGATCATCAAGCTACCATCACCAGATAATCATGCAGTATTTGTGGCGTAGCGGGATCAAGTTGTACGAAACTGACCAAGAAACACTACGAGCGCTGGGTGAAATGCATACAACTGTTAGCTGTCTGATCAACGAAATCCAAGTTCTTCGTTCCTATCAGGGCGGTGCGGTTGGATTTATTCACCGATGCTGGTGAATCGGCTTACGGGTGCTTGGCATATTTCCGGCTTGAGGACGGTGTAATTGTTCACGAAGTTTAAGCGAAGGTGGTAGCATTGCAGTACCTATCTACATAGCGCATGGTGCTAGTAGCTGCTGTTCTACTGCTCGCTTGTGCGATCCTTATTGGAGTCAAGTTTAGTTGTTTGGTGCCCTTTCCATGCTAGCTGGATCACTAGAATTGAATCCGTTCAACGCAAGTTTGTGAGATATCCGGAGAACTTTGTGATTTGGGCGTAATTGCTTTTGTAAACAAACATGTCAATCGCTGATTTCTCGCGAATAAAAGAACAATCTCGCGAACAAACTATACCAAATGATAGAAGAACCATTCATCTACCTGTTTGTGTTGTTAGTTTTTTAGATGGAGTTTAAATTCGCGAGAAATCATCAAATGAAGTGTTTGTTTACAAAAACAATTACGCCCTAATCTCGAAGTTCACCGGATATGCTCTTCGTTTCCTCAACTGGCGTGACCCAACGAACTTGCCACCGTACGAAGACCGTTGCCGTCTCCTAGGAATCGAACGATTAGAGGTGAGACGGACGGTCGCTCAAGCTATGTTCAATGGAAAGCTGCTTACGGGTGACATTGACTGTTCAAAACTGTCACAGCTATGTATGCTTCTGAGAGACCTCTTCGTCAAGGCAACTTTCTGTTTTTGGAACCACGGCGCCGAAATTATACGCAACACGAGCCAATTCGATCAATCAGTCGGCAATTCAACAACTTCTTTTATATGTTTGACTTCAATGTATCAGCTGACGTGTTTTGTCATTGGCTAATTCGCCTTTTCCGTACCGTTGATCGTAAGTTTTTATTTTAAGTTTTATTCATTTAGACAATAATTATTGTCAGCTGAATTTTTCAATAAACAAATAAACAAATCATAAACATTTCAAAGGGACGTAATTGCTTTTGTAAACAATGGCTTTAGCTGTCGATTTCTCGCATCTTAAAGCTCACTTCTTCAAAATAACAATGCTAGAGGAATGTTTCCTCTACCTATTGGTGTCATTATTTTTCATGAGTGAGCTTTTATTAGCGAGAAATCGACGGCTAAAGCCATTGTTTACAAATGCAATTACGCCCCTTTGAAATGTTGGCACTGAAATAACAGTATCCATGGGAAAACAAGAGTAACACCTCTTTCCCACTCAGTGTTTGGCTGTCAATTGCCGTTTGTCATCGTTTCGGCTTGAAGAAGGGTTCCCTGGCAACAATTTTGGTTTTATGAGGGTTCTGTAGACCATGATTTAGACTTGTAGAATGCTATAAAACCACGATAAAACCTGCAATGTTACTTGGGTTGTGTCGATTGGAGGTCGGTCAGAGGCTGAATACTCTCTCTCTCTCTACTAGGCGTTGACACTCTTATGCGAGCTTTTTCCCGCTTTCAACTTAAGGCTCAAACGCAATGTGGGCTGAAGCGGAACTGAAACAGCAAGTTTGACAGTTGTCACAAATGATATCAAGATACCTAATCGAAGTCGATTTGGTTCTAACTTGTTTTCAATCCGACAAGAAAACACTTAGAAATAATTATTTTTAAACGTGACGTAATTAATCTTTGACGTAAATCATGGAACGTAAACAAAGATTTCATGTAAAATTAAGTGTTCCTACACCGAAGCACTCGAAGAAAACGACGAAAAGTGCGTTTGACTGAATTGATTTTCTCGTCTCTTTCAACTGATTCTTATGTCATTAGGACCGCTTACATGTGTCGGTCTCAGGGAATCGAAATTTACATGACTTTTTCGTAGTGTATAGGCTTCCTCAAATCGGGCTTCTCCGATGCCGCTTCCGTTCCGCTTTAGCTGTCATTGCGCTAGGGTATTTAGTGGTTTTGAAGCACTTCCAAAGTTATTGATTGACAGCTTGCTATGTCAACCAATAATGCATGCATTTGTATATTGTGTGGCTGGCACAATTCTCGCGTCTTTTTTAAATAGACCAATGTAACAAATGTAAAAAAATCAAGTTAAGCGATACAAACTATTGCTCTTCTATCATGTGATACAAAAACATCCATCCAAATTTACTTTCAGTTATTTAAGATAATCATTGGTCAAAAATTGTCCAATGTACAGTTTGAAATGATGGGTACATGCTTGTTACTTCGGTCATTCGGACTGTGAAAGGGAATCTAGAATCATGTAGAACAAAACGTCCAACGTAACACTCATTGATTATGTCGCTGAGAAAAATCGTCCAATGTAACATGTCCGATGTACTACTTGACTAGTCAAATCGTCCTATGTGTTTTTTTTTTTCTATATTGTAGCATGAAATTCAAAGTAAAATTGTAATTTTACCGTTTCTAATGAATTTTCAACGTTATTATTCACTGACTACCTTTAAAAATGGTATTGCAAAATGTATTGTTTCTAAACAGTTAAAATAATAATCTGTCGAACTTCAACTTCGATTTTCTCAATATGGTGGTTACATTGGTCTATTTGAAAAGTGACGCGAGAATTATACTCTTTGTCCAGGGAAGTCGAAAAATTTCCAATCCGAAAGATGTTCTAGACCAGACTGGAAATCGAATCCGCCATCTCCGGCTTGGTAATACCCTGTAACACCCTCCTGTCTTTACTGAATAGGCTATCTGAGTCCCCAGTACAAGATCTGGAAAGTGAAACCAACTGTACCTGAACCTTGAACCGTGCCCTTAGTTCAGTGCATGTCGTATTACTCCATCACTATTGAGAATTGATGAAGTATTTGTTTTTTTGCCACAGTTGTCATTCTTGCATTTATCGCAAGGCTCCGACTCTAATTGAAAGGTCCCGCTATTTATACCCTTTGGAGTATCGTCTCCTGGTCTGAATACTTTAAATTTTAGTATTTGGGCGTACAAGCTAGTTTCCTAAGGGGAGCTTAGCTGAGGACGTGAAGCATTTATGTCTGGACTCATTTAAAAAAAACGTTTGGTCAAGATTTGGGATGATATGCCTAACGAAGTAGTGCACGCGGCTTGCAATAATTGTGAAAAGCGTTTACGAGCCGTAATCAAACACAAGTGCGAAAGATTCGAACTAAACTAAATACGTTGTAACTTTGTTTCTTTGTTATACTGTTTAATTTGAAATAAAATAGAAATGTTATCTGGTTTGTGTTTTATATCATATTTTAAGTGCATCACTTATTCGTTGCTACCCCGTAGATACGCTAGGATGAAAATGCCTCTTATTTCGTCCCGAGTTGTTCGGCATGATTCTAGCAGCTATTTGCCATCTTTTCGCAGGCATAGTCGACGTAGCTGTTGAAGTTAAGCTGGTTGTGTATCATCACTTTAAGCATGCGCTTCGAGGCTATGGGATGATCCTCTATTGACTTGAACTCGTGACTTTGGCTGAGAGGTATGGTATGATTTGCTACAGTTAATTTAACAATCATTGTCTTGGATGTTTACCACTACGCCGGGGCCATCCCCACGGTTTGGTGTAGTTTCTTCTTCTAGTTCTGAGACAACTTGCACAGTGGGTGGGAATTCTCAATAAATGGTTTGGCAAGGTTTTGGCTGTCCTGAGCGTGGAGGATTAGACTGGGGGAAATTGTTATCATTTTTTCAACGGGCCAACCTCCTGATTATTTTTGTGGGCCAGTCTAGTGGAGGATTAGTAAAAAAAATGATACTGTGGTCACTATCAACCCTGCAGTGTTGGGCTTGGAATTTGATTGATAAAAAGAATGACCGGACGTGATGATAAATGTGCCAGCCACGCAAGATGGGATGTGTCATGAGATAGCGTAAATAGGAATTAATAATGTGCAGTGCGGGAAGTTACTCTCCTGGTAGCTATGCAAACGTGCGATTTAAACGATGAAACGTTTCTTAAACATTTAAAAAACGGGTCTTTACTGCGTACTCAGATTTACTGTCCACCCTTGATTTTTTTTTTAGTCAGAGGTGTGGAGCGACGAGCAAGCGTATAGAATGTGCTTCCGAAAGAGGCTTCTTTTAGAATCTACTGAGGCCGGCAGCTTTCTGCTCTATTCATACGGGATTGGACAACCCTAATCCAACATGTAATGAAGTAGAACACAATCGAGCTGTGCTTGTTCACGTCGACTGATACTGAGTGATTGCGGTACAAGCACATATCGTCGATAGTAAAGTGTTGTAAATGATAAACGATAAATAAATGATTGTTGTGTATTAGAGAACGCTTGTGCAACAATACAAGGGAGGGAAACTGATTCGAAACTCAAATGTCATTAGCCAAATACCTCCGTAGACCATAGGTCAACCGTTGTATAATTGGCAATGCACCCGGTACTAAATGGAAGTTGTGGGTTCGAAACGCATGCTTGGCATGCACAGTTGTACACATCAACTGCTCATTTGTTAATAAATTTTCACTCAGTTGTTGAAATTTGTTTCTTTTTTGTAGTAATTGATATATTAGGTTCATAGCTTACTAGAGATACGCAAAGAGTAGGTAAGTCTTAACATTTGAATCAACACCAATGGATTTTTACACTTAGTACGAGATATGTGCAGCGAGCATTTCTTGCTTCATTTTTACAACTTAAAAACAAACATAGTTTATTACTAGAATTAAAATCATGTTTTTACGTATCTATAACAAGCTTAACTTCTAGTCTATCTCTAATCATCTTAAGATGCTTTTTATCTTTTCAGAATTTGTGACCGGTCCTGTATTTGGTAGAGCAAAATACGCTACGAGGAGGAGAAGGAGTGTGTTCTAAAATGGGTCATAAATATTCTACATCTTTTATGGATGGTTCCTAAGATGCATCGTTTAGAATCTTCTTTAGAAGATTTCCTCAGAAGTTTTTTCTTTAGAACCTTAGCTTATTACAGACGTTTGGTCGTTGCTCCGCTCCTCTGACTAAAAAAATACGGGCAGGGCAGTAAGTCTGAATATACACTTATCCAGTCAGTAAGGTTTTACAGGATTTTTGATTTGCGACACTGTTCGGTAAAAGTCTAAAAATCTGTGGAAATACCGACTTTTTCAGCAATTCAAAAACCCAGTAAAATACTCCTGTAAAATAATTTAAGTGTGTAGCAGTAAAGGAGCTCTCTTCGTAGCTTGGCGTCGCTTTGTTGCTGTAGCGGAGGGAGGGATAGGGTAATTTAAAGGTACTGGAATTATATGAAAAGTAATAAGCATTCTCTCTTTCTTTATACACGTATGCCACTATATACATCTGCATTCATCAGAATTCCTTACTATATTTTTTCTGCCAATAATTCGTTTTGCGTAACAGATGCTGTCAAAGGAACTAATAACAATTCAATTATGAGTTGTGCAAAGTTTTTGCTACTAGGTGGAGAATAGCATATTGTTGTCGTCGTCGGGCATGAATGTTAATAATCATGAAAACAAATCCTGAAATTTCATTCAAACCAATAAAGTAAGCTTTATTAAATTTTATGATCCAACATCGAAAGTGCTTTATCGATCAATTATATATACGGCAACACATGACATTTACTCACCATTCTCCCGCTGCCAGTAGTTGATTGCTTTCGGGGACGCTTCGACGTTGCAGATTAGCGTGACATCGGTTCCCAGCGGGGCACCAACAAGCTGATTCGGCACTTGTATCAGTGGATGAACTGATTTCCGGTAGTAGAAAGGGCAGCAATAGAAATCAAAATTCGAAACAGTTTCATTATAGTTGAAGCGCATAGTAATGCAGAGGGATGGGTACAATGTTACATTCTCAACACAGAAAATTTAAAGGTACGGTATCCATTTTCAACTTTTCTGCATTTAATTTTTTTTATTGTCTCTTGTAGGTGTAGGTCAAACAAAAATTAGTCTGGTCGTGGTGTGAAAAAGGGTTACAGCCCTTTTGTCGGCTTGTACATAAATTCTTGATGAGGCCGACTGGAAAGGAGCCGCGTAATCGTTTTGGGTCGTGAGTAGCTCTTTAAACTGAATTAAGAGGAGGGCTTGTTTTGTGCTTAAAGTATTGTGAAATTGTATGCTCTTTTCATTAGCGTTTCAGTATTTATACCTTTTCTTTTAACAGAAATTCCCTCATATTCTCATTAACGTTCAATCCATACCTTCGATACGAAAAAAAAAACTTTTTCTTGCATGAAAAATACAGTTCGAACAAAAACAAGAATATGGGGGAATAAATTATTCATATTTAATATAAAACCATTCAACTGTAGGAATTTACATAGTTAGCAAATTTAAAAATAATTATATGAGGCAGCACTTTGGTTTTCATTTCCGTAAGCATACTAGACTAGCAATCTTACAAATAGATTCCATGCAGCTCACTTGGATGTTGTAAAATTATCATACCAAAGTGACGACAAACCCCACGCCCACAACGCAGGAGTTGGGGAAGTTATTAGCATTCATAAAACGAGACCTATTCAGATGACAGCAAGTGGAAAACCAAGGAAAAGTGATATGATAACGATACACTCTTACCGAGAGCAGCTCCAGTCGGTCGGGTTGGTGCCTGCTTCTTGAACCTAGCGGAACGGAGTTTGCATGAATAATAATTGGGTATATAAAACGTCCAACCTTTCCGCAGCAACTGCCGGCTGGTTGGTGTCAACGATTAGGCGAAAGATAAAGAGCAATGTGGTAGGCATTTGTCAAAAAGGAAAGTTTTTTGAGAGAATAGAATTTGAAAAAGTTTATTGAGAGAACGAACAAAAATTGAGGGTGAAGAGTAAAATAATATAATGATTTGTTGATACAGGGACATACAATTTGCGAGCATCAAAAGTACAGATTTGAAATCATTGAGTGCTTTTTATTTTTTTTTAAATATACTGTTTAAAAATAATTTAACACATTAGTCTGTATGATATTTACTCCTACAGTATTCTTCAATACATAGACTAGAATCAACCATGATCATGTACAATGCCTATCCTTGGGTTGTGGGACAAGTTGAACATTAAAGGTCGAAGGGTTGAATGATGAAGAATTTACGGTTCTGCTTCGGTTTAGACTGCTCTCCGGGAGTATACTCTGGATTTTGATATGCAACGGTCAGCGTTTATTTTTTGTATTATTTTTGATCAATTTTCATTATTTTTCTAATTGAATAAGGGGACGGGCCTAAATAGCAGTCATGATGGGTGCGAGTGCAAATTTCTTCACCACCGAATTACCTTAAAAAATGTTACTGTGGCTACTATGAAATTACAAAACAATCAAAGCAAATTCTAATTGAATCTCGAAACAAGATTATTGTACCTTTTTTCAATGATGTTGATTCTTCAAATTTCAAGCACAGTCATTTTTTTTTTAATTATAGATATTTTGCTCTGTTGAGATTGTTGGTAACATTACCCAGTAGAATATAGTCCTTAAAATATGTGAGAAATTATTTATGCAGACTCGTGCTTTTAATTATAAAATATAAGGGTCAAGTGTCCGAGGCACGTGAAATTGACTTCTGCTGATTTGGACTGAATTTAGAGGAGATGTTTATTTTGGTCTTACTTTTAGGAATTCAAATTGTTGTGCCGATCGAAGCACCTCTCGGTCCAGGGGAACATTTTATATTTTTCTTGATTATCATGAAAGCACTACTTTTAGTATCATCGGAACAAATAAAGCAACATACCATTGAAGATTTTTTATGAGAAAATTAGGCAAGGAATCTAAATATCAATTTACTTTGTTTGTACAGTGTCGCCAAATATTTTGTAAATGCGTTTAAAAACTACAAATGGAATTATTTACATTTCCATTCTGACAGCACCATCGTGCGTATTTCCTGAGATACAGCATTTTGAAGCAAAGAATGCCAAAAATCACGAGAAAAAAAATGTTTGCTTCGATCTTATTTTCGTCTGCTCTTCTAGGAAAAAATAAGTCACTTTGCTCGCCTACTATTTTAATGATTTTTTTTTGTTCAAATTCCGCATCATAATACCTGCTTTTTTGTCATGCGGCCAACTTTTCCTAAATAAATTAATAGTGCGCAAAAGTAACTTTTGCTCACGCTTTTGAGTATTGCCTAGCTTCTCGTCTGCCAACGGAGAGCTTGAAAAATTGGACTGTCACAATAACCTACTGGATTTGAAAGGTTTGGTCATACGCATGGATGGCCATATGCAGTTAATCAAACAGCGTTATATACTAAAAGAAATAATTACAGAAATGCTAACAAATGTAATACGTGCTGATGAAATCTTCATTTGGCAATTTGTTGCATAAATAACTATTTGCAAGAAAAAATGAAATTCTGAAAAAAAATTGCAGTGTTGCCAAATTTAAGTTTAATTTTCCAATTAGGAGCATTAATGGGATTTTTTGAAAATATATTTGAATGAATTATTTAATTTGATATGACAATCGTGTACTCAATCTTATTTTATATAAGTTAAATTATCAACAAAAGTTCAAAGTATTATTGCTGTGAAAAAGAAAAACATTTCAAGAACGTGATTTTTTAAAACATTTGCCAAACAGATGTAATGCCTCTTCAGACCTATTCTTTTGAATGTTTTCAGAAGATCACTGCCCAATCAATCTAGAAATAGAGTTTTGGTACAGTGTTGCCATTTTTTTAGTTTGAAAACTATTAATATTTTTTTTTGCATGTTCAAAATGTATTTAATTTCATTTGCTGATCTTCTGTCACTTATTTAAAAGCAAATTTATATTAAATGTGGATTTAAAGAAAAACTTCAAGTCATGACTGGTACTGCTGGAACTCTCAACTTTCTCTAGTTAACAAATTATCAAGTTAACAAATAAAGCTTAATGTTGATATTAGTGTAGCACTTCCAACCAACTTTGAAATAAGTTAGTTTATATGTTTGATAGTAGGTAATGCAGCCAGGATCAAGACAATATTCTATCGTCTAAAAGATAGAAATGCTCAGGTTGTGTTGTTGCTTCATGTATCTTAAACGCAAAAACACATAAACTGCCTATAATCACATGTCAGTCCCTTCCGGATTTTTGTAAATTTTGAAATAACAACGATATGCACTAGCAATTTTCACCTAATTTCATATAATGTTTTAATACTATGGACTCATATTCAATCTACAATGTAATTGCTTAGAGGACTAACGTTTTCCATATGAGACAGTTTTAAACTATTTTTAGTCATGATATTATAATGCTGTAAAGTGCATAAATATGCAAAAATTTCGTACACCCAACCTTGGTCCTTTTATTTTTTAAAGTTATTTTCGCAATATTTCCATACAGGAGATGATGCCAACTGAAATTTTTTAACGAAAAATGCGATTTTTCTTCCCCAGACATTAAACATAGGTCAGCATTTTTAAATCCTGTATCCACAACATGCCGCCATCCATGTTGAAGAGGGTCGAACCCTCCGTGGAACTATCTGTTCCGCTTTAAATTAATTTTAACCCATATATTCCGGACACGCTTGGCAGTACCACGTACTGGAATGCCACTCATCCAACATCTGTATGGTAATTTTCACCAACAGCTCATCTCCTGTATGTAGCTCCTTGCTATACCCACCTAGCATGATGTGAGTTCTCCACTTCTGTCGTGCTCCTTGACAAGTGCTACACTATAAGCAATGTAGTCAAAAGGGTTTTGAAACTTTGAAGACCGTGATGAAAGTTAAATTTTTTAGGCACCATTCCATGAAGCTCTTCGTAAAGTGATGTTCATGGAAGATAAAGAAGAAAACTATCCGCTTAGTCGAAAGAAGAGTAAGTATAACGTGTGAATTGAATTTAATTGAAAATTTACTCTTGAGAACTGTTTTAAGCATAGAACATTTCTACAAGGTAAGCAGATTAGCACAGAAAATCGTCTTTGTTTCGTTAAGATTGTCTTTGAGTGACAGTGGCCTGAACGTCCACAGTATCGCTTATATGGTGCAAATGAACTATTACGTGATGAAATGGATCTCCATAACTTAGTTTTGCATTCTGTGCGGGGAAGCTTCCAAACTGAAGGAAAAGCGGCTCATTAAACTTACAATGTACTTGCAGCTTCATCCGTTTGCTCACGGACGGTGGAACACCGTTGGACGCGATGCACATGTACGCACCCATCTCCGAGCGCGTCACCTTTGTAAGTGATAACATCTCACCTTCCACGAGCATAGCTGCATGTATGGGGTGTAAAAGAAGTGCCAGATTAAATTGAAACATGAAGTACTGACTGTCGGTGCTTGCTTTTGTTGCATACCTTTCATCTTCCCGTGGGTGCCGTTACGTGCGATTATTTCCCGGCCGTCCTCTCGTCGCCAGATGATCTTTGGTTTCGGATAGCCTCGAGCTTTGCACACCAATTTGGCGGAGCCACCCTCTGGGACCATCATGTCACCCGAAGTTTCCTCGTAGACTATGTCCGGTGGGATCACAACCTCGAGAAATGCAGTCTATGGAATGAAAGTGAGAAGTGCTTTTAATTAAACCTCGCGTGGATTAGGTGATAGAAGAATGTAACAGATGTCACTACTTTTATATGCGCTATTCGCTATGTGGGGGAAATTTGATTAGTTTTTATGGCGTTTTGCCTTTCTCGTACACCTAGTTGTACCGAAAGGCTTTAATATCACTTGAAAAACACTTTTTGGTTTGAAAATTGTAAATTGCCACATTGCAATTAACACAGCTACACGAGATCGGAAAATGTCTGTTTGTGTGTACGGAGGAGTGGTGGGGGGTAAAATGGAATGATGGGGTAAAACGGGCAGGTTTTCTTCAGGAAACTTTAAACATCATTGTTTTGATCGTGCAACTCAAACTGTCAAAAGATGCAAGAGTAATTAAAAAATATGACGCTATGCTAAAAATGTGTTCGGATGTTATTTACATACCCACACTCATGGAATCAGAATGTCCGCCACTACAGCGATAAGTGCTAGAATTGCCGGCGGCAGAGTCACCCGATTGTACGTCTACTACGGTGCCTGCGGCACAAATACCGCTGACTGCCGGTTAATATCTTTCTGCGCGGTGGATGTCTTGCTTCTCAACGGTGTACCTAAAAATTCTAGCTGAAGACAAGTTTATAAAGGCATACAATTCCCTAATGCAGCTATTTTCCTGCACACTAAGATTATTTTACGAATTCGGGGAATTTTTACCGAAATCTCAACAGCTGAACGTTCGGTAAACAGTTCGGTGATTTTTTACAGATTTTCTGTGATTTTCACAGATATTCGTTGAAATATTACAGGAAAACTGTGAAAAATCACCGAATTGTTTACCGAACGTTCAACTGTTAAGATTTCGGTAAAATTTCACAGATTTAAGTAAATAATCTTAGTGTGTGTACAAGCAGGTCTGCATCTAAAACTGTTTGTTGGGTATTGATTGCTGTTTCCGGTGAATTTCCCAACGAGGCTTTGCTGATGCTGCCGGTGTTCTGGCGTTCCCTATGAAGAACTAGTGCCACCCGTTGGTGCGTTCTTGGCACATTTTTTTGGTATTACTTTATTTGTACAGGCTCAATCGAATAAACTTTACAGAGCCGAGTTATCCTTTGCGTTATACATTATTACTGTCTTATATTTAAAGTTAAAGGAACTGGACCGAGTACTCGCGGTTGTTTCGAGGTTAGTGGAGATTTACAATTTTTTGCATGGGAAAAAGGAAGAAGGAGATTGGAAATGGTAAACCACATTTACACAGATACAACTATTTAATTAATCCTAAAGCATGAAATTATTTCTATTGATCTTGAAAACAAACATTGAAAAAAAAAAACCCACGCGTACAAACTACAAACTAAACACAAGGTTAATCAAACTTACAATCTTAGGTTAATATCCTTAAAGTAAACATATATGAGTTTCATAAACTCCAGATCGCGTCTAGCCAAAATATCCCGAACTGGAACATTAGGTTGTCTACCTCGAGCCCGAAGGGAATCATAAACATGTGATCTGACTCCACGATACTCCGCACAAGACCAAAGGATGTGATCAGCGTCCTGGTGACCTTGTCCACATTCACCGAGATTGCTGTCTCCCAATCCCACACGGAACAAGTGTGCGTTCAGACAATAGTGATTGGACATGAGACGAGGTATCACGCGTGTGAAGTCTCGACCCAAGTCCAACCCTTTGAACCATGCACACTTCGACACCTTAGGGATAATTGAATGTAGCCATCGTCCCAAGCTCCCTTCATACCATTGATGTTGCCAGCTAACGAGTGACTGCTGACGATAAATAGAGAAAAATTCACTATAGGCGATTTGTCGATCATAAATGTCGCCTTCCATAGCGCCCACCTTCGCCCACGCGAAGGTGATGATGAAAGAGTGCACGGATAAACCACTAAGCAGCCCTCGTATTTTCAAGAGAAAATACGAGAAGTGCTTTACCGGCCTAATGGAACGGATAGCCTCGACAGAACTGAGACTATCCGTAAAAATAAAGTAGTGGTCTGGAAGAAGTGAAGCAATAGTTTCCAAAGTGTAGTGAATTGCTGCCAGTTCAGCCACATATACAGAACAAGGAGCTTCAAGTTTTCGAGAGGCGCTATGAAATTCATTAAATACACCAAAACCTGCGGAGTCCTCTATTAGAGATCCATCTGTGAAAAACTTTCTTGCAGAATTAACATGGCCAAACTTTGCAGAGTATAATGACGGAGCAATCATAGGACGATGATGCTCTGGAATTCCGCGGATTTCCTGAGTCATAGATAAATCAAAATTCACTGAATTGCCGAAATAGGAGAAGACTACACGATTGGGAATATTTCTTGAAGGGCTGACATCCTGTGTTAAATATAGGTAGTACAAAGTCATAAAACATGTTTGAGGATTTAGCTCCAGAAGCTTCTCAAAGTTTTCGATCACCAGTGGGTTCATTACTTCACAACGGGTGAGGAGCCTCAGAGATAACTCTGAAAAACGGACGGATAGTGGCAACATGACCGCCAGCACTTCGAGACTCATAGTATGAGTCGAGTGCATGCATCCTAACGCGATACGAAGACAACGATACTGGATCCGTTCCAGCTTGATGATGTGCGTTTTAGCTGCCGACTGGAAGCAAAAACTACCGTACTCTAAAACCGATAAAATCGTTGTCCGGTACATCGTCAAAAGATCTTGAGGATGGGCTCCCCACCACGTTCCGGTAATTGATCGGAGGAAATTGATCCTTAGTTGGCATTTTCGTCTCAGATACTCAATGTGGGATCTCCAGGTGCATTTGGAATCGAACCAGACCCCGAGATATTTGAAAGACATGGAATGAGTGATCGGTTTACCCAAAAGTTGAAGCTTCGGTTGTGCTGGGCTATGCTTCCTAAAAAAAAACGACCAACTCAGTTTTCTCCGTGGAGAATTCGATACCTAGCTAAATAGCCCAAGTAGACAAATTGTCCAAGGTATCCTGTAAGGGTCCTTGCAGGTCAACCTCTTTTGGCCCTGTGATAAACACTACGCCGTCATCTGCAAGTTGTATCAACGTGCAGTTGTCACTAAGACAATTGTCAATTTCTCTAACGTAGAAATTGTACAAAAGGGGGCTTAAACATGAGCCTTGGGGGAGACCATGTAGCTAAATCGAAAAGCTGTAGAGTTTCCATGAGAAAAGCTCATATGTTTTTCTGACAGCAAATTGTACAAAAAATATACATTATTGGAGACAATCCACAAACGTGGAGTTTCTCTGAAAGAACTTCAACCGATACTGAATCAAAAGCCCCCTTGATATCGAAGAACACAGAAGCCATTTGCTCTTTCTTAGCAAAAGCCAACTGAATTTCCGAGGGAAGCAACGCGAGACAGTCGTTCGTTCCCTTACCCCTACGGAAACCAAATTGAGTATCTGAAAGAAGGTGGTTCGTCTCAACCCATTTGTCGAGGCGAAAAAGGATCATTTTCTCCATCAATTTCCGAATACATGACAGCATCGCGATGGGCCGATACGAATTGTGATCCGACGCGGGTTTATCAGGCTTTTTAAAGGCTATCACCCTCACTCGTCTCCAATCGTCGGGAACAATATTGAGCTCCAAGAACTGATTGTACAAGTTCAACATGCGCCTCTTAGCGACGTCTGGGAGGTTTTTCAGCAAGTTGAACTTGATTCTATCAGATCCCGGGTCAGAATTTCCACACGAAAGGAGAGCGAGTGAAAGTTCGACCATTGAAAAAGGCTGACTGATTTCGTCTACCGAATTCGCGGTTTCGCGAGGAATCAACTACGACGGCACGGAATCCGGACACACTTTTCGCGCGAATTTAAGAATCCATCGATCCGAGTATTCCTCGCTTTCGTTGTTAGTAGACCGGTTAGGCATTCTTCGCGCCGTACTCCAAAGCGTATTCATAGACGTTTCACGCGACAATCCGTCTACAAACTGCCGCCAGTAACCCCGTTTTTTGGCCTTGATGAGGCTCTTGAGTTCGCGTTCAAGAGATGTGTATGCGTTTCCGAAAAAGTTTAAACGCGTCGGACTTTTTACGGTAAACCTCCGTGCATTGTTGATCCCACCAGAGCGATGGTGTTTTCTTACGAATTGACGATCGCGGCACCGGTCGTGTTTGAGCTTGAAGTGCGCTGTCGACGATGAGATTAGAGAGGAAATTATATTCTTCCAACGGCAGAAGCTCTTCCACTGACGATACTGTATCGTCTATCGCGGATTGGAACTTAGTCCAATCGATGTTACGGGTTAGATCATACGCGACGTTAACGGATTCTGACGAGTTGAACCCACTGGCAATCGAAATTTTGATTGGCAGATGATCACTACCGTGCGGATCCTGGATTACATGCCAAGTGCAATCCAACGATAGTGAATTGGAGCAAAAGGTGAGGTCTAATCTGCTACCATTCGAGGATGGGCCAGCCAAACGTGTTACTTCTCCATTGTTAAGTATTGTCATGTTGAAGTTGTCGCAGAGATTCTAAATCAAAGTAGAACGGTTATCATCGTACAGCTCCCCCCAGCCTGTATCGTGGGAGTTAAAATCTCCCATGATCAAACCATGGAGCGGGAAGTACCGCACATATGTCGAAAAGTTGTTTACGATTAACAGAGACTCTAGGAGCAATATATACAGAAGCAATACAAAGGCTCTTACCTTTAATGGTAGCCTGACATGCGACAACTTCAATACCGGGGAATTCGGGAAGATTCACTCTATAGAAGGAATGGCACTTTTTGATCCCCAAAAGTACCCCATCCTCCACGTGAATCCTCCCGACCCAATCGAATAATGTTAAAATCATAAAAAGGGAGATCAATTTCTGAAGAGAGCCATGTTTCACAGAGGGCAAATGCATCGCAATTATTGTTATAGACTAAATACTTGAACGAATCTAATTTCGGAATAAGACTTCGACAATTCCGCTGTAGAACAGTGATCAAATTCCCGACCTCGTTTGGAAAATTATCCATCAAAGGA